TAAAATCATATTTTTTTGCTCCCAAGGCACATAGGAAACATAATTTAACAATGAATTTTGTTGAAAAATTGCCCCTTTGCGTCTAATTTCGCTTTGAAATGCGTGCGTTTACTGCTCTTGTATGAGATAAGAGTTCGAAAACATTCGAAGTACTGTAAAATGTAATGAAATCGACAACTTGACCTTGCTCTTGGCCTTGAGACCTTGTACTGCCTCAGCACTGAAATGTTTTTTGACAACGATAATTTACCAGTGTCTCTTGGATATTTTCCTTGTTTAACTAGTAGAACCGAACATACAAGTGCATTAGAAGACTAAGCGAGAGTTTTGTGTAGAAATGCTCTGTTTACGGGAAGTTATTTTGCATTCGCAAGCGTCAACAAAAGCCGGTATACGTATTTTCACAGTTTCATTATCATGTCGATAGATAAAAGCTTTGAAAATTCAATTGAAAACATTTTAAACCACCCATATTTCTATAGAATATATGTTAGTGGTATTAACATTGAACTTCTTTCTGTTTAAACCCAAATTAGTACTTGTTTTGCGTTTGACAAGGCTGTCAAGCTCGCGACGATTGGCAGGCAGACTGCAGATTTAGCGACGTGTCAAATGTCTTCTTGTTTATGTCAAGTTTATAATATTGTATTGCTGTTCAAACACAAACGAGATATTTTATACACTGGAAACGTAGAGTACATTTTACTTTGTTTTTGTCTCGAGCAAAGAAATTATAAAGATTAAACAGGCATTCAAAAATATTATAATATACAACAACCACGAACATCACGTTATTCCTTCGGGGAAATCTTCAAGTTTCAATGGCAATCTGGCGCATGCGCAACAAATTTCCCAGCTGCTTGAATCATTATTTATGCGTAAAACCGCTGGTTACGATTGCGGACGCAAAATGTTCCTCGTTTCTGGTAATGATGAACTTTAGACTTCGCTAATGCTTTCGTTTCCCCGGGTGTAAATAGCCGGGGGGAATTAGTACCCTCGCACGGCGCTTCGCGCCGTCGGCTCGGGGATTATTACTTAGCAAAAATTAAACCCCGAGATAGAAAGTTTGTTTTATCTCCTAAGATATCTACGAATGTTTTCTATTTCGTGACAACCGTCATCAAAACTCAAACTGCTCCAGTGAATCCCACTTTACTTGCTGGTCAGCCGAACAATATTAGCAAGGTATTTTTTAACAAAACAAGACGCTCTACGGTGCGTTAACTCGCTGGAGCTATACAAATACATTACTGTACATGATCACACATAATACATACAGTACAAAGCTATTCAATTAATATTTATGGTTCTCCTCCAGCTAATCGGAAAAGTCGAAAACGAGCGCGAAAGGCTTACTGTAACACAGTACTAAAATACGGTAGGCCCTAGTTATATTTAGTACGCTACAATCCTTCTTCAAGACTGTCAGCCCCCAGTTGGTCCGTACGCTAGGATTAATTTCAAAAAACTGCGCTTTAAAACTTTAAAACTAAAATTTTTTGGGCTCAAAATAGTATCAAAATGAAGAGAGAACTGAGACGAATCCACTGGTATACGGCCGAAAAAGAGAAAACCAATGATACCAAAGTTATCAAGGATCAAACGTACTGCATTTTTTTATATTTAGTTTAATAATTTTGAGCGATTTGTCAACAACTTATTTTCGCTTGATCATCAAAGACAAAGGCCATAAATCGCTAGAATACTGTTGTTTAGTTATACATTTTACATCCGTAATTAGTACAATTTCTAACCCTTAATCGAACGGTGGTATTTTTATTCTTATTGCGCCATTAGGCATTACATAACACTATGAAACGTACTGCAAGTGATTTGTCAACAACTACGTACTGCGAGCGATTTATCAACAATTAGACAATACAATTTGACCATTTTCACTTGATTTTCAAAGGCCATAAATCGCTAGAATACTGGTGTTTTGTACAATTTCTTACGCTGAATTGAACGGTGTCGCTTTCTTCTCAAAATATAAAGCAGCGCAGCCAAATATATAAACCATAGACATGCTACACACTTGCGATTTGCGAAGGTTGCTGTTTCCAGGCGAAATTCCTTGTAAAATTGTTCAATTTTCCCGAATTTTCCTCAAAATGCAGGGTTATTTATGAATAATTTGGATAATATTGGCAGGAGCCTTATGGATAATTGGGGGAAAATTAGGCAGCTCATTAATATTCTATTTTGTGGCTATCAACGACGATCGGAAATCTGACATCGGAAATCTGTCATCTGACATTCACCAAAAATGCATGCCGAAATCTATACTCGCCCGGACACAGGTGCCCCAGCGAGTAATTAGATGTCAAGCTCGAATGTTTGTTGTATATTTTAAGATATCAATGAGTGTTCTCTATCTGCTCACAACTGCGACCAAAACTCAAAGTGCACCAATATTGATGGATCTTTCTTGTGCATTTGTGACAATGGATATTCTGGAAATGGAACTGTGTGTCAAGGTAAATAGAAGTACTAATTTTATAACGTAGCACTTTATAGCATAGCGTATCTAATTTCTTTCACAAAAGAAAAACATTTACACCTTCGTAGTGTGCTAATTAGAGCAGCAAAATATTATACGCAAAAGAACCGATAGTTTCGGTTTTCATTTCCCGCTTAACGGCCGCCAAACACCCACCTGATTGCAGGTAGAAATGTTTGGAAAATAACAGGATTGTGTTCTTTGTGCACAATATGCACTGTACTAAATGCTCAAATAGTTGATATTTTAGTTGTAATAATTATTGTTGTGCACTTTCTTTTTAACAAAAAGAAATATTTCATGTTCATAAATAAATTCCAGTTCTTTTAAAATATTCAGAGATTTATACAAACTTCGGGACCCGTCATTATTTATGGCGGAGGGTGGCAACCAGGAGAAATGTTTTCCAGGAAAATATTTTGCTGACCCAAATTATAAAGTCAAAAATAATTTTACACAACCTCAAATATCAATTTAAAAATAAATACCCACCCTTGGCCAAAAACTTTACAAAAGGATACCAATCAGTTGTTACACATGTCCTTTAACTCTTCTGCAACATGAGTTTGATAACTCCGTGTGCAATTTTCTGCAGTCTAAAATTTCATGTTGTCTGCACATGTACTTTCTTGGCAGGCACCATTTGCTTCTTGACAAAGCGGAAAATGTTCAAGATAGGGACTCTGATTGACTAACACATTGTATTGATATGACCGTCTGTTGACATTGTTTTTTAGTCTTCAATATTTGAATGAGTGATGCTTTGGAAATGGCAACAAAGTTTTATTACCCAACCCTTCAACTGTTTTGCTTGACATTTACCTAACCTTTTGCTCACTCAAAATTTTGTCTACCCAACCCTTTTCTCTCCGGTGCGACCCCCCCCCCCGTCATAAATAATGACTTGTCCCCTACAAAGGTATAAATTCATCTATTTAGTAAAAATGCTTGAAACATACATAAATGATTTCATACATTTGTACTGTTCTTTTTTGAAAATAACCGAACAGAACCGAGGTTTTTTTTCTTTCCCAAAAACCCCGGAAACGAGATAAAATTTTTGGAACCGCACAGCTCTAGTGTTAACGCCACTGTTTTTATATGTGTTTAGACATCGATGAATGTTCTTTATCAATTGACAATTGTCATAGAAACTCAACCTGCACCAACTTTGGTGGATCTTTCTTTTGCACTTGTAAGAGTGGATATACTGGAAATGGAACTGTTTGCGAAGGTGTGTACAGTAGTTGTTGATGATTTTGCAAATCATTGCTGTTGGAAGGACATATTCGCCACCAAAATGATCGCCTGAATATAAGTAATGACAATTGAATAATTGCTGTTGGAAACAAAGATGGTTAAAAATCTTCACATAAACTAGAGTGAAATATTTAAAAACACTCTTAGTCCGTTCGATTATTTTTCCAAAACTATTTGCCATATATTTTTAGACATAGATGAATGTTTTTCGTTTGTCGACAATTGTCACAAAAACGCAAACTGCAACAACACTGATGGATCTTTCTTGTGCACCTGTGACAGTGGATACACTGGGAGTGGGACTTTTTGCCAAGGTAAATTTAAGATCAAATTTACTAATTAGAAGGCATTACTTGTTAAAATTAGATGTCGAGTTCGAAAGTTTATTTTATATTTTAAGATATTAATGAGTGTTCTCTATCTGCTGATAACTGCGACCAAAACTCAAACTGCACGAATATTGATGGATCTTTCTTGTGCACTTGTGAAAATGGATATTCTGGAAATGGAACTGTGTGTCAAGGTAAATAAAAGTCGCAATTTTTTAACATAGCACCTTGTAGCATAGCACATTTAATCTCTTTCACAAAAGAAAAATATTTATGTCTTCGTAGTGTTTCAACGACACTGCTTTTAATGTCTTTAGACATCGATGAATGTTATTCATCAATTGACAATTGTCATAAAAACTCAATATGCATCAACAATGGTGGATCTTTCTTTTGTACTTGTAAGAGTGGATATACTGGAAATGGAATTGTTTGCGAAGGTATGTACAGGAGATGATGATGATGATTTATAAAATCATTGCCGTAGGGAGGACATAAACTTGGCCAAAATGATCGCATGAATCAGCAATGACAACAGAATAATATTGCTGTTGAAAAAAAATGGAGTTTAAAAGCTTCACGTAAGCTAGAGTGCAATATTTAAAAAATTTTCGTATTCGATCCAATAATTTTGCAACAAGTACTTGGTATATACTAGTTTGCAGACATAGATGAGTGTTTTTCGTCTGACGACAATTGTCACAAAAACGCAAACTGCAAAAGCACTGACTGATCTTTGTTGTGCACTTGTGACACTGGATACACTGGAAATGCGAAGTCTTGCCAAGGCGAATTTAAGACAACATTAACAGTTTACCGAGGCATTATTTAGCAAAAATTAAACCACGAGTTAGAAATTTTGTTATATCTTTCAAAATATCTACAAATGTTTTTTATTTCGTAATAACCGTCACAAAATCTTAAACTGCTCCAGGGAATCCGACACAGTAAACTCTTTGGGGACATACGCTACTTGTTGGTCAGCAGAACAATACTTAGCAAGGTATTTTTTAACAAAATTGGATGTCAACCTCGAATGTTTGTTGTATATTTTAAGATATCAATGAGTTTTCTCTATCTGCACACAACTGCGACCAAAACTCAAAGTGCACCAATATTCATGGATCTTTCTTGTGCATTTGTGACAATGGATATTCCGGAAATGGAACTGTGCGCCAAGGCAAAATTGAAGTCCCAATTTTATAACGTAGCACTTTATAGCATAGCGCATCTAATTTCCTTCACAAAGAAATCATTTACACCTCCGTAGTGTGTTAATGACACTGTTTTTATATGTGTGTAGACGTCGATGAATGTTCTTTATCAATTGACAATTGTCATAGAAACTCAACTTGCACCAACAATAATGGATCTTTCTTTTGCGCTTGTAAGAGTGGATATATTGGAAATGGAACTGTTTGCAAAGGTGTGTACAATAGGTGTTGATGGTTTTTCAAATCATTGCGGTTGGAAAGACATAATTGCGACCAAAATGATCGCTTGAACATTAGTAATGACAATAGACAATTCCCATAAAAGACGAATTTTAAAATTAGGCAAGAAAACTCAAATAAATCACCACAGCTAGAAAGAGCATACTACAATTAGTAAAATTACAAAGTTTGGTTGCAACATGTTGAAAAATGAGGAAAATATAGCCTTGCAAAATTTGCAAATTTTGTATACTTTTGTATTCCTTGCGGAAATTCCTACCACATTTAGGCCGAAAGTGGTCGCACGCAATACAAAAGTGTACAAGATTTGCAAACTTTGCAAGGCTATATTTTCCACATTTTACAACATTTCGCAACCAAATTTTGTAATTTTCACAATGTTAGCATGCTCTTTCTAGCCGTGGTGATTTATTTGCATCTCCTCGCTTAGTTTTAAAATTAGTCTATAATTGGGAATTGTCTATTGAATAATTGCTGTTGGAAAAAAAGATGGTTAAAAATCTGCACATAAGCTAGAGTGAAATATTTAAAACGCTCTTAGTCCGTTCGATTAGTTTTCCAAAACTATTTGCTATATATTTGTAGACATAGACGAATGTTTTTCTTTTGTCGACAATTGTCACAAAAACGCAAACTGCAACAACACTGATGGATCTTTCTTGTGCACCTGTGACAGTGGATACACTGGGAGTGGGACTTTTTGCCAAGGTAAATTTAAGATCAAATTTACTAATTAGAAGGCATTACTTGTTAAAATTAGATGTGGAGTTCGAAAGTTTATTGTATATTTTAAGATATTAATGAGTGTTCTCTATCTGCTGATAACTGCGACCAAAACTCAAACTGCACGAATATTGATGGATCTTTCTTGTGCACTTGTAAAAATGGATATTCTGGAAATGGAACTGTGTGTCAAGGTAAATAAAAGTCGCAATTTTTTAACATAGCACTATGTAGCATAGCACATCCAGTTTCAGATTGAATCTGGAGCCAGAGGCATGCCGTTCGTGTTCGAAGGGCTCTAACTCCACAAAGCCTTCACCCATCTTAATCATTTTTTTCATTCTTCGTCAAGAAAAGGACTATCATATAACGCAATCACTGAGTCGCTACTGCTTCTAGATTGCTCTAAACAGCTTGCATAAGTCAAGTCGCCAAACCGTGTCGGGTCAATTAAATCTTGAGTAAGACACGGTTAGTTCCTATCTAAATCGCTGTATTGTCTGTAGCGCTTTTATTTTTCTCTGGAGGCCTCGCATAAGTTATGTCACCGAACAGCGACATATTGATGGAGACTGCAAACACGCGTGCCGCTTAGCGATTTAAAACGCTCGTTCTCCGACACAAGTTACTTTATCGTCATAATATTTTTTTCCATTCTTTACCCATAATATTTGCATCATATGAGATTATTTTTAAGCTTATACCGATTTAAACTTTGACTGAACAGCTTGCACAAGACGAGTCGTCGAACCGCCACATATTAGCGAGCTTAAGCATGTAGGACGGCAACACCACGACGACAGCCAGAACAAATTCCTTCAAATAAATGATGGTAAAGAAAACTTGTCGTATATTATAATTCGTATGAATTTAATACAGTATAAGAAGCTGAAAACATTGGCTTTATGTTTGGGAAGAGTTCTACTGACCGAATTTTAAGTTGCACTTGTTACGGCTTGAAATGTAGGCGTTGTATAAAAGACGTGAAAATCTGTGATTTGCCGTTGTAAACAGAACGACGACCACGCCTGAAAGTCCCCTGGGACTTTAATTATTTATTTCTTTTCATTGACTCCTGGTATTGGTTGCCGTCGTCGTCGTGTTGCCGTCCTACATGCTTAAGCTCCCTATTGACACTTACCGCAGGTCGGTCGACAAGTCAGCATACTAAAAACGCTCTATCTCAGGCAAAAATTAACATATTCTTTAAACATTATTTTTCATTCTTCCCTGATAAATTACACATTATTTTAAAAAATCAGCTTGTCTTTAGCGCTTTTTGTTTTCTCTGGAGGCCTCGCATAAATTAAGTTATGCTAATGTAATGGACCAACCCCCCTGTAAGCGGGATTTCCCCTTTGTTTACTACAGCTCGAACTATGTATATTAATGTATTAATTGATACATATAAATTTGTTTTATAATATATATTACTTAATTGCAAATTAAAGAATTGGTATATTATTTTATAGTTGGGTTCCAATGGGAGTTTGTATATTCCGGAGTAATGAGTAATGCATTTTCGTATACTTACATTAGAAAAATAAACCATGAAAACACTGACAGTGGTTCTATACTCACTCTCTGCCGTGAATAATTATAATGCTGTGGCAGTGTCAGGAGTGTAACAAAGGGTAAATTACTCTGAAAATCTTCGTACACTTCATCAAAAATCTTTGGAAAATCCCAGAATCCCCAAATCCCAAGAAATCTCTAAAAATTGCATAAAATCCTTGGAAAAAGCCCAATAAAATCCTCAAAATTATTGCAATATTGAGAAATCCCATCAAATTTAAACATTTAAATCGTGAATTGACGTGAAAATGTCCTTCGTTGATTTACTTTGTTTTCGAAAATAATTCGACGGATTATATGTCGCAAAAAATTTCGGAAAAAGTTCGGCTAAAAAAAATAAGGGGAAACATTTCGAAAAAATCAGCTGAAAAAAATCCAAAAATCCCTTAAATTTCGGGAAAAAATCCCAGAATCCCAAGAAAAATTGCTTTTTTCAGAGTAATTTACCCTTCGGAGTGTAAAATAATATGATAAAATAAATATCAATTGATCAAATATGGTCACAATTTCGCTATAGCATATTCGTTTCTAGCGTGTTATATATTAACCAGTTCAGCCTTTAAAACAATTGTCTATACTTAAAGGACATTGGCACCCAAAATTTTTATTACATTTATCTCTTAGGTATACTTGCGGAATATTTAATTTCATATTTTGGCCGGTTTGTCGCGTTTAGTTGTTGAGAAAATTTGATAGAAAGTTCAACAGTTGCCGCCATTTTGAAAATAAGCGCGTATGCTAATTTATGCCTCAAAATACATTATCTGACGTCATTGGCTGAGTAAAAACAATTTCTTGACTATAAACAATACCGAGTATTGCCACGCGTAGTGCATTTGAACCGAAACAAAAGGCAGCAAAGTTTTACCAAGTATGTAATTTATTTGTAACACTATTTCTCATAGTATATATCCTACTCCGTGTTAAATAAACGCAGAAATTCGAGTGCAACAAGACAAATACTAATGCAATATTTTATGATCAATTACCTGTATTGTAAATTGTGCCATTCCCTGCTTTCCCAGTCGCTCGATATGTTTTTATCTGATAGTGTAGACTTATCTTGTTTGATTGCGAAGAGTGTTGGCCAGTATAACGCTCAAAACGACATATTTTTAGCTGACATAACACGCACGCAATAGAATTCTCTCTTGTAGTTTTAGTGCTACCCATCCAATGACGTCACAAAGTTCATTGACCTTCGAGATAATTTGTCAAAAAATATTTCCAAGATGGCGGCGAAACACAAAGTTTGAATGCATTTTACTCGTAGACTAAAATGTTTGAGAACGAAATGATAATATTTTCATAGTTAGGTCTTCAAGTAGGATTGAAATAGCCAATAAAACTTTTCGGTGCCATTGTCTTTAAAACACTCATTAATAATTCATAAACCTTGTGGCAAATCATGTCAGTCATAATATATCACGTGGAGTGACTCTATATCTGATAAAGCATGCGGCATTATATAATTAATTGTTCATCCTAATTAGTATGATTATATAATGGTTCATCCTAATTAGTATTCTTTTGTAGTCGTATTTTAGCTTATTCAAAACACTCGATGTCGTACGATAAAACACTCCTACTCGTGTAGCCGGTATAGGAGTGTTTTATGTCTGTTTTATGTCGTACAAACGTAGTGGAGTTAAACCAACCGATAATTAATATTTAAAATGTTATTTTACGTTTTTTTCATTAAACGAATTTATTTCACTTCACTGCCTGGTACTGTCTGTTTCGATCGCGAGTAGCCTGCGTAGCAGGCGGTATTCGCGGGCACGAGAGAATGGGAAGCTTGAAATACCGCCTGCCCAAAAACTACACATTCTGAGTTCTCCCCGGCAGCTGGGTGCCGGAGCATTCTGATTGGTCAGAATGTTGATTTTCAATTTTTGATTGACAGGAGTAAAGAATTAGAGTGATTAGGGCTAATTTTAGAAGTTACTGTTGCCATATTTATAATATAAGGCCAAATAAAAAAAATACTTGGTTAGCGTCACCGCCCGCCTCTCGGTTTTCTGCCGCCTCTGAATTTTTTTTTGTTTATGTAAATCTCTTCGTTTTACAGCTTAAAACAGTTTAATATTTGAAATTTTTCTCATGCTCAGACCTTCGCGCTATATACTGATCGATAGGAGCCATAGATATATTATATACACTAGATAGTGCATCTAATTATTCTGCAATTCAAAAATTGAAGCCATGATTGCAGTCTTAGGTCGTTCCCATGAAATGAGAAGATTCGTATGTTTTCTATTTTTTAAACAGGGAACTTAAACATTAAGTTAACCCTATTCCAAATACATTTTTAAACTATTCGAATGATGAAAGTTATTGTTGTTTTTAAGCGTTTTTTACTAAGTGGGAACGACCAATATGGCCGCCATCTATTCAAATGGGGGTAACCGCTGGAATATTCTTGGCTTCAATTTTACTAAAAGAGATGCGCTGTCTAGTGTATCTTAAAATATCTATGATAGGAGCGCTTAGGCTTGGGTATACAAGGTTCTTAAAGCAAAATGGCGGCCTTCGCCAGATCAGTACAAAAAATATCACCGATATGGTGGAAAAACCGCCCCACATCCCCTCCAAAAATACTATTAAAAAATTAAAAAACGAGTAAAAATTTAAAAAAAAATCCGCCCGCCCGCCTCTGAAAATTTGTGCGAGTGTGACGCTAACCAAGTATTTTTTTTTTATTCGGCCTAAACTATTGTTATTTTCGTAATTGATACCGATATATCGAGTGATGGCATACTTAACCAAAAAATAACTAATGTATTAATTGAGAATTAAGCGTTGAATTCTTTAATCTTTATCTGGAATCGGAAATCGCTTCGTCTTGAACAACGAATATCAATCCAACATTTGTTGCTTGATAGATGTGATACCGTGATAAAAGTGCAGATTTGAAGATACAGGCTCGTAAATGACACTCTAAGTAGTGTTTTTGATAGCGATTGGGACAAGACTATTACAAAGTTACGTCCGAAGGGGCCGAAGTTATGTTCGGCGAAAGGTATGGCTAGTCTATATTTTTGTTCAGACAATTGCGTAATTTGATAATACACGAACTCGCTTGACTTTCAAAGCTCATAAATCGCCATAATGTTGACATCGACTAAAACTATCGCTATGAATGAGGACATATTGTTACACTGAATCGAACGTGGTATTTTTTCATAGCATTGAATGAACCGAAGATATGAAACGTCAAAGCCGTATATTTGCACTGGTGCAAATATGTGAGTTTGACAAATAATTAAAATAAATACATTAAGATGGGCGGGACCATGTGGTGGGCGGAACTCAGAATGTGTAGTTTTTGGGCAGGCGGTATTTCTAGCTTCTACCGCCTGCTAGGCAGGCTAGTTTCGAGCATTGACATGCCCAATATCAAATTTCGAGCTTTAGTAAACAAAAGGGGAAATCCCGCTTACGGGGGGGTGGCCTATTACATTAGCATAACCTAACTTATGCGAGGCCTCCAGACAAAACTAAAAGCGCTAAAGACAAGCTGATTTTTTTAAATAATGTGTAATTTATCAGGGAAGAATGAAAAATAATATTTAAAGGATATGTTAATTTTTGGCTGAGATAGAGCGTTTTTAGCATGCTGACTTGTCGACTGACCTGCGGTAAGTGTCAATATGTGGCTGTTCGACGACTCGTCTTGTGCAAGTTGTTCAGTCAAAGTTTAAATCGATATAAGCTTAAAAATAATCTCATATGATGCGAATATTATGGGTAAAGAAAGAAAAAAAAATATTATGACGATAAAGTAACTTGTGTCGGAGAACGAGCGTTTTAAATCGCTAAGCGGCACGCGTGTTTGCAGTCTCCATCAATATGTCGCTGTTCGGTGACATAACTTATGTGAGGCCTCCAGAGAAAACTAAAAGCGCTACAGAAAAGCCGAATGCTTTAGGTGATGTGCAGATTATCAGTGAAGAATGAAAAAAATTATTATAACGTTACATTTACTCCTTACGACGATACAGCAATTTAGATAGGAACTAACCGTGTCTTGCTCAAGATTTAATTGACCCGACAATTTAGGTTTGACGACTTGACTTTTGCAAGCTGTTTAGAGTAATCTAGAAGCAGTAGCGACTCAGGGATTGGGTTATATGATAGTCCTTTTCTTGAAGAAGAATGAAAAAAATTATTGTTAAGATGGGTGAAGGCTTTGTGGAGTTAGAGCCATTCGAACACGAACGCCATGCCTCTGGCTCCAGATTCAATCTGAAACTGGAGCTGCGAATCTGAAACTGGAGCTGACTGGCTTCTCGTCATAGCACATCTAATCTCTTTCACAAAAGAAAAATATTTATGTCTTCGTAGTGTTTCAACGACACTGCTTTTATATGTCTTTAGACATCGATGAATGTTATTCATCAATTGACAATTGTCATAAAAACTCAATATGCACGAACAATGGTGGATCTTTCTTTTGTACTTGTAAGAGTGGATATACTGGAAATGGAATTGTTTGCGAAGGTATGTACAGGAGGTGATGATGATTTATAAAATCATTGCAGTAGGAAGGACATACACTTGGCCAAAATGATCGCATGAATCAGTAATGACAACTGAATAATATTGCTGTTGGACAAAAATGGAGTTTAAAAACCTTCACGTAAGCTAGAGTGCAATATTTAAAAAATTTTCGTATTCTGTCCGATAATTTTGCCACAAATATTTGGTATATACTAGTTTGCAGACATAGATGAGTGTTTTTCGTCTGACGACAATTGTCACAAAAACGCAAACTGCAAAAGCACTGACTGATCTTTCTTGTGCACTTGTGACACTGGATACACTGGAAATGGGAAGTCTTGCCAAGGCGAATTTAAGACAACATCATCAGTTTACCGAGGAATTATTTAGCAAAAATTAAACCACGAGTTAGAAATTTTGTTATATCTTTCAAGATATCTACAAATGTTTTTTATTTCGTAATAACCGTCGCCAAAACTTAAACTGCTCCAGGGAATCCGACACAGTAAACTCTTTGGAGACATACCCTACTTGTTGATCAGCAGAACAATACTTAGCAAGGTATTTTTTAACAAAATTAGATGCCAAGCTCAAATGTTTGCTGTATATTTAAGATATCAATGAGTGTTCTCTATCTTCTCACAATTGCGACCAAAACTCAAAGTACACCAATATTCATGGATTTTTCTTGTGCATTTGTGACAATGGATATTCCGGAAATGGAACTGTGTGCAAAGGCAACTTGAAGTCCCAATTTTATAACGTAGCACTTTATAGCATAGCGCATCTAATTTCCTTCACGAAAGAAATCATTTACACCTTCGTAGTGTGTTAATGACGCTGTTTTTATATGTGTGTAGACGTCGATGAATGTTCTTTATCAATTGACAATTGTCATAGAAACTCAACTTGCACCAACAATAATGGATCTTTCTTTTGCACTTGTAAGAGTGGATATATTGGAAATGGAACTGTTTGCGAAGGTGTGTACAGTAGGTGTGGATGATTTTGCAAATCATTGCGGTTGGAAAGACATAATCGCGACCAGAATGATCGCTTGAACATTAGTAATGACAATAGACAATTCCCATCAAAGACTAATTATAAAATTAGGCAAGGAAACTCAAATAAATCACCACAGCTAGAGTGTGGTACAAAGTTTGGTTGCGACATGTTGTAAAATGAGGAAAATATAGCCTTGCAAAGTTCGCAAATTTTGTACACTTTCGTATTCCTTGCGGAAATTCCTACCACATTCCTATAACATTTAGGCCGAAAGTGGTCGCACGCAATACAAAAGTATGCGAGATTTGCAATCTTTGCAAGGCTATATTTTCCACATTTTACAACATTTCGCAACCAAATTTTGTAATTTTACCAATTTTAGTATGCTCTTTCTAGCTGTGGTGATTTATTTGCATATCCTTGCCTAGTTTTAAAATTAGTCTATAATTGGGAATTGTCTATTGATTAATTGCTGTTGGAAAAAAAGATGGTTAAAAATCTGCACATAAGTTAGAGTAAAATTTTTAAAACACTCTTAGTCGTTCGATTATTTTTCCAAGACTATTTGCTATATATTTTTAGACATAGATGAATGTTTTTCTTTTGTCGACAATTGTCACAAAAACGCAAACTGCAACAACACTGATGGATCTTTCTTGTGCACCTGTGACAGTGGATACACTGGGAGTGGGACTTTTTGCCAAGGTAAATTTAAGATCAAATTTGCTATTTAGAAGGCATTACTTGTTAAAATTAGATGTCGAGTTCGACCGTTTATTGAATATTTTAAGATATTAATGAGTGTTCTCTATCTGCTGATGACTGCGACCAAAACTCAAACTGCACGAATATTGATGGATCTTTCATGTGCACTTGTAAAATTGGATATTCTGGAAATGGAACTGTGTGTCAAGGTAAATAAAAGTCGCAATTTTTTAACATAGCACTATTTAGCATAGCACATCTAAACTCTTTCACAAAAGAAAAATATTTATGTCCTCGTAGTGTTTCAACGACCCTGCTTTTATATGTCTTTAGACATCGATGAATGTTATTCATCAATTGACAATTGTCATAAAAACTCAATATGCACGAACAATGGTGGATCTTTCTTTTGTACTTGTAAGAGTGGATATACTGGAAATGGAATTGTTTGCGAAGGTATGTACAGGAGGTGATGATGATTTATAAAATCATTGCACTAGGAAGGACATAAACTTGGCCAAAATGATCGCATGAATCAGTAATGACAACTGAATAATATTGCTGTTGGAAAGAAATGCAGTTCAAAATCCTCACGTAAGCTAGAGTGCAATATTTAAAAAATTTTCGTATTCGATCCGATAATTTTGCCACAAATATTTGGTATATACTAGTTTGCAGACATAGATGAGTGGTTTTCGTCTGACGAGAATTGTCACAAAAACACAAACTGCAAAAGCACTGACAGATATTTCTTGGGCGCTTGTGACACTGGATAGACTGGAAATGGGAAATTTTGCCCAGACGAATTTAAGACAACATTTACAGTTTACCACGGCATTATTTAGGGAAAATTAAATCTAGAGCTAGAAATGTTGTTATATCTTTTAAGAGATCTACGAATGTTTTCTATTTCGTAACAACGATCACCAAAGCTCAAACTGCTCCAGGAAATCAGACACAGTAAACTCTTTGGAACATACCCTACTTGTTGGTCAGCAGAACAATACTTAGCAAGGTATTTTTTAACAAAATTAGATGCCAAGCTCGAATGTTTTTTGTATATTTTAAGATATCAATGAGTGTTCTGTATTTGCTTACAACTGCGACCAAAACTCAAAGTGCACCAATATTGATGGATCTTTCGTGTGCATTTGTGACAATGGATATTCTGGAAATGGAACTGTGTGCCAAGGTAAATATAAGTCCCAATTTTATAACGTAGCACTCTATAACATAGCGCATCTAATTTCCTTCACAAAAGAAATCATTTACACCTTCGTAGTGTGTTAATGACACTGTTTTTATATGTGTTTAGACATCGATGAATGTTCTTTATCAGTTGACAATTGTCATAGAAACTCAAACTGCACCAACAATAATGGATCTTTCTTTTGCACTTGTAAGAGTGGATATACTGGAAATGGAACTGTTTGCGAAGGTGTGTACAATATGTGTTTATGCTTTTGCAAATCACTGCGTTTGGAAGGACATAATCGCGACCATAATGATCGCTTCAATATAAGTAATGACAATTAAATAATTGCCGTTGGAAACAAAGATGATCGATCAAAAATCTTCTCCTAAGCTAGAGTGAAATATTTAAAAACCCTCTTAGTTCGTTCGATTATTTTTCCAAAATTATTTGCTATATATTTGTAGACATAGACGAATGTTTTTCGTTTGTCGACAATTGTCACAAAAACGCAAACTGCACCAACGCTGATGGATCTTTCTTGTGCACCTGTGACAGTGGATATGCTGGGAGTGGGACTTTTTGCCAAGGTAAATTGAGGATCAAATTTACTAATTAGAAGGCATGAATTGCCAAAATTAGATGTCCAGCTCGAATGTTTATTGTATATTTTAAGATATTAATGAGTGTTCTCTATCTGCTGATAACTGCGACCAAAACTCAAACTGCACCAATATTGATGGTTCTTTTTCGTGCATTTGTGATAAAGGATATTCTGGAAATGGAACTGTGTGCCAAGGTAAATAGAAGTCCCAATTTTATAACGTAACACTTTATAGCATAGCGTATCTAATTTCTTTCACAAAAGAAAAACATTTTCACCTTCGTAGTGTCTTGGTTAGAGCACCGAAAAATCATACGCAAAAGAACCGGTAGTTTAGGTTTTCGTATCCCGTTTAACGCCCGCCAAACGCGCACCTGATTGCAGGTTGAAATCTTTGGAAAATAGCAGAATTGTGTTGCTTGTTCACAATATGCACTGTACTAAGTGCTCAAATAGTTGATCTTTCAGTTGTAATAGTTATTGTTGTGCACTTTCTTTTTAAAAATAAATATGTCAAGTTCAAAAATAAATTCCAGTTCTTTTAAAATATTCAGAGATTTGTACAAACTTAGGGACAAGTAATTATTTATGGTGGAGGGTGGCACCCAAGAGAAATGTTTTCCCTGGCAAATATTTTGCTGACCAAAATTATAAAGTCAAAAATAATTTTAGCCAACCTCAAATATCAATTTAAAAATAAATACCCACGCTTGGTCAAAAACTTTACAAAAAGATACAATCAGTTGTTACACATGTTCTTTAACCCTTCTGCAACATGAGTTTGATACTACCATTTTCGAGCTTCCGTGAAGCGTGCATTTATAACTACGTTTCAAAACGTTTCTTTAGCATGAGTTTGTCAATCATAACTTTTGTTTTGCAATAATAACTTTTGTGGGCGTGGTGTCAAGCACATTGTTTTGCACGCGAAAAATTCCTCTTATTTTTCACACGGACTGACTCTATACTGACAAAATTGCTATAGAAAGCGAAATAACAGATTTATAGCACCTTCTGGAAATGTTTACGTAACAAACCTCTGTAATACAAGTGTCCTTTTGAGTTTTGACGCCGAAATTCAAAGTTTCGCGTGCAAAACAATATGTTTTTTATACCACGCCCACAGAAGTTATTATGTCAAAACAAAATGTTTTAGGAGCGAAATAAAAAGTTTTGAATGACAAACTCATGCTGAAGGAACGTTTTAAAACCTAATTATAAATGTACGCTTCACGGAAGCTAGAAAATGGTAGTAACTGCGTGTGCAATTTTCTGCAGTCTAAAATTTCATGTTGTCTGCACATGTACATTCTTTGGAGACACCATTTGCTACCTGACAAAGGGGAAAATGTTCAAGATAGGGACTCTGATTGACTAACACATTGTATTGATATGACTGTCTGTTGACATTGGTTTTTAGTGTTCACTATTTGAATGAGTGATGCTTTGGAAATGGCAACAAAGTTTTATTACCCAACCCTTCAATTGTTTTGTGTTTCATTTACCCAACCTTTTACTCACTCAAAATTTTGTTTACCCAACCCTTTTCTCTTCGGGGCCACCACCCGCCATAAATAATGACCGGTCCCTTACAAAGGCATAAATTTTTCTATTTAGTAAATATGCTTAAAACATACATAAATGATTTCATACATTTGTACTGTTCTTCTTTTTTGAAAATAACCGAAACCGAACCGAACCGAGGTTTTTTTTTCAAAAAAAACGGAACCGAGATAAAATTTTTGGAAACGGACAGCTCTAGTGTTAATGCTACTGTTTTTACTTGTCCTTAGAAATCGATGAATGTTCTTTATCAATTGACAATTGTCATAGAAACTCAACCTGCACCAACTTTGGTGGATCTTTCTTTTGCACTTGTAAGAGTGGATATACTGGAAATGGAACTGTTTGCGAAGGTGTGTACAGTAGGTGTTGACGATTTTGCAAATCATTGCTGTTGGAAGGACATAATCGCGACCAAAATGATCGCTTTAATATAAGTAATGACAATTGAATAATTGTTGTTGGAAACAAAGATGGTTAAAAATCTGCACATAAGCTTGAGTGAAATATTTAAAAACACTCTTAGTCTGTTCGATTATTTTTCCAAAACTATTTGCTATATATTTGTAGACATAGATGAATGTTTTTCGTTTGTCGACAATTGTCACAAAAACGCAAACTGCAACAACACTGATGGATCTTTCTTGTGCACCTGTGACATTGGATACACTGGGAGTGGGACTTTTTGCCAAGGTAAATTTAAGATAAAATTTACTAATTAGAAGGCATTACTTGTTAGAATTACATTTAGAGCTCGAAAGTTTATTGTATATTTTAAGATATTAATGAGTGTTCTCTATCTGCTGGTAACTGCGACCAAAACTCAAACTGCACGAATATTGATGGATCCTTCTCGTGCACTTGTGAAAGTGGATATTCTGGAAATGGAACTGTGTGTCAAGGTAAATAAAAGTTGCAATTTTTTAACATAGCACTAGCTATGTGGCATAGCACATTTAATCTCTTTCACAAAAGAAAAATATTTATATCTTCGTACTGTTTTAACGCCACTGCTTTTATATTTCTGTAGACATTGATGAATGTTATTCGTCAATTAACAATTGTCATAAAAACTCAATATGCACCAACAATGGTGGATCTTTCATCTGTACTTGTAGGAGTGGATATACTGGAAATGGAATTGTTTGCAAAGGTATGTACAGGAGGTGATGATGACTTAGAAAATCATTGCAGTAGGAAGGACATAACCTCAGCCAAAATGATCGCATGAATCAGTAATGACAACTGAATAATATTGCTGTTGAAAACAAATGGAGTTCAAAATATTCACGTAAGCTAGAGTGAGATATTTAAAAATATTTTCGTATTCTGTCCGATAATTTTGGCACAACTATTTGGTATATACTAGTTTGCAGAAATAGATGAATGTTCTTTGTCTGACGACAATTGCCACAAAACCGCAAACTGCAAAAGCACTGACTGATGTTTCTTGGGCACTTGTGACACTGGATAGACTGGAAATGGGAAGTTTAATTTTGCCAAGGCGAATTTAAGACAACATTTACAGTTTACCAAGGCATTATTTAGCAAAAATTAAACCTCGAGCTAGAAATTTGGTTATATCTTTTCTATTTCGTGACAACCGTCAGCAAAACTCAAACTGCTCCAGTGAATCCCTCACAGTAAAATCTTTGGGGACATACCCTACTTGTTGGTCAGCGGAACAATAATACTTAGCAAGGTATTTTTTAGCAAAATTAGATGTCAAGCTCGAATGTTTGTTGTATATTTTAAGATATCAATGAGTGTTCTCTATCTGCTCACAACTGCGACCAAAACTCAAAGTGCACCAATATTGATGGATCTTTCTTGTGCACTTGTGTCAATGGATATTCTGGAAATGGAACTGTGTGCCAAGGTAAATATAGAAGTCCCGATTTTATAACGTAGTACTTTATTGGATAGCGCATCTAATTTCTTTCACAAAAGAAAAACATTTACACCTTCGTCTTGTGTTAATGACACTGTTTTTATATGTGTTTAGACATGGATGAATGTTCTTTATCAATTGACAATTGTCGTAGAAACTCAACCTGCACCAACAATATTGGATCTTTCTTTTGCACTTGTAAGAGTGGATATACTGGAAATGGAACTGTTTGCGAAGGTGTGTACAGTAGGTGTTGATGATTTGGCAAATCATTGCGGTTGAAAGGACGTAATCGCGACCAAAATGATCGCTTGAATATAGATGATGACAATTGAATAATTGGTGTTGGAAACAAAGATGATGAAAAAACCACACCTAAGCTAGAGTGAACTATTTTCCAAGACTATTTCGTATATATTTGTAGACGTAGATGAATGTTTTTCGTTTGTCGACAATTGTCCGAAAAACGCAAACTGCAACAACGCTGATGGATCCTTCTTGTGCACCTGTGACACTGGATACACTGAGAGTGGGACTTTTTGCCACGGTAAATTTAAGATTAAATTTACTAATTAGAAGGCATGACTTTCCAAAATTAGATGTCGAGCTCGAATGTTTATTGTACATTTTAAGATATTAATGAGTGTTCTCTCTCTGCTGATAACTGCGACCGAAACTCAAACTGCATCAATATTGATGGATCTTTCTCGTGCACTTGTGAAAATGGATTTTATGGAAATGGAACTGTGTGCCAAGGTAAATAGAAGTCCCAATTTTATTACGTAGCACTTTATAGCATAGCGCATCTAATTTCTTTCACAAAAGAAATACATTTACTCCTTCGTAGTGTGTTAATGACACTTTTTATGTGTTTAGACATAGATGAATGTTCTTTATCAATTGACAATTGTCATAGAAACTCAACCTGCACCAACAATGGTGGATCTTTCTTTTGCACTTGTAAGAGTGGATATACTGGAAATGGAACTGTTTGCGAAGGTTTGTATAGTAGGTGTTGATGATTTGGTAAATCTTTGCGGCTTATAGGAGATAATCGCGACCAAAATGATCGTTTGAATATATAAGTAATGACAATTGAATAATTGCTGTTGGAAACAAAAGATGGTTAAAAGTCTGCACCTAAGCTAGAATGAAATATTTAGGCCTTAAAATATATTTTACAGGGCCGTCTGACAAAATGTCCAATGACTTAGAGTTTGGGTCGGACATGTGTATGATGATGTCCGATGACCTTCAGTTCAGTTTAGCTAGGAAAAAATCTGAATGACACAAATTTTAGCAGAATGTATTAATTCTGAACGGCAAATGTTGTCAAGATATTAAATAATTTGTGTCATTCATACTTTTTTCCGAGTCAAAATTAACTTGCATGGCAATAACAACACTAAGAAGTCGACACTTAAATTCGTTTTCCTCTTGACCATTTCGCTCGCCGCCGGCGATATTTTGATTTACGTTGGAGAAAGTTATTATTATTATTATTACTATTACTATTATTATTATTATTTTTATTACTATTATTATTACTATTATTATTACTAATATTATTACTAATATTATTAATATTATTACTATTATTACTATTATTACTATTATTACTATTACTATTACTATTACTATTGCATTTACAATTACAATTACAGTTACAATTACAATTACAATTACAACTAAAATTACAATTACAATTACAATTACAATAAGCAATTATTGGATGAGGCTGGGCATGATATCAACAATTATTCAGACCGAGGTCAATGTTATCTGCCGAAGCGAAGCTGAGGCGGATAACATAGACAGAGGTCTGAATAATTCTTGATATCATGCGAAAGCCGAATCCAATAATTGTTTTATTATACATTTAAAGGCATGAGAAACGTATAAAACGATTCCTGTTCATGAGGTAGGAAAAGTACAATTTGAATATCAAACACCTTGCACAAAGTCAAAGGTCAGCTAAATATTCTATTTCTACTTCTATTTACCCCTTTGTGGCTTTTTTCGTGCTTTCACTATCCTTATCTGCCAATAATTTGGAGAGTTCACTTTCATTCAGCGAAGCAAATCTGCTGTAGGCCATTGTTTGTTTTTTTCGCGCGCTTATAGGTTCAAGCTTTTGGCCGCGCAAGGGTTTGGGCACGAGAGAGTCCAATAATTGTTTTTTTGGATGCAAGTTCGATCCAAAAAAACAATTACTGGACGCTGATGACGTCATCGGCGGAAAATACGTAATAAATGCCGAATACTGAAAATTAGCCGGTGCTTTCTGACCAATTAGAAACGAAAATACATATTAAATGTATAATAATTACAATTATTATTATTATTATTATTATTATTATTATTGGAAGTATTCCCCGCAGGGCTTTTCAATACTTATTTACAAATGATACTTTATACAGCTTAATTAATGTTTATAAAAATGATTGCAAAAGGAATTTATAAATAGTTAAAAAACTCATTAATAATTCAGGAGCAAAACACAAAGAAAAATCATTAGCGTGTCGTGGTTTTATATGTGAAAAAAATCATGTTAATTTACATAAACTTTAGCTTTCATTTTCTCGGTTTAGACAAAGTTTATTTTAAAAATTACTTCGCCAATGAACTCGTTTAAGATGAGTCGTTTCTTAAGCCACTTAATGCACTTGTAGTCGTGTTTTATCACATATAAAACACTCCGCTACGCGTCGTGTTTTATATGTGATAAAACACTCCTACGCTTGCTTTAAAAATTAAATAGTACTTTAAATGTAGCGCAATAAAATAAATTTCAATAAGAATAAGTTTCTTGCATGCATGTCAAAACAACTGTTTATATATACTATAAATATTCAAGTTTCAAAATATCGATTTAGTAAGAACTCTTTTAATTTGATTTTAAATGTTGCTGATGGAGTTTTTTCAACTCATTGTCTAAACTATTCCATAACCCAACAGCTCTATATCGAAAACTTCTTTGCCCAGTTGTGGTTGAGCATAGGGGAATATGTATAGTGCTTCATTGTTTCTTGTGACGCGATTGTTTAATTCCTTACGTTTAAGAAACAGGTCGCACAGATATGTTGGAGGGAGACTATTTATACATTTGTGGATCATGACCAAATCTTTGAACAACAGGCGCCCTTTAACAGGGAGCCAACCAACATCTTTAAGGATTGGTGTAGTATGATCAAATTTTTTACCATTAGCTATAATTCTGCACGCAAAATTTTGGACGGCTTTTAGTTTCTTAAATTAATATTTGAGGAACTCGTATTTGACCAAACTGTTGAACAGTAATATAATTTACCCATAACTAACGCGCAGATGATGTAAATCAGTGTCTTTTGGTCAAAACAATGTTTGACACGATTAATTTGACACAGTTTAGCCATGCACTCTGATGAGAGCTGGGTTATATGTTCGTTATATGTCAAGTTGCGGTCCAGGATTATTCCAAGGTCGCTTATCGAAGTGACAGGAACGATTTTCTTATTTAAAAAATTCAAAGACATATCATCTGATAGTAAATTTAGTAACTGTCGCGTAGCAACTAACAGAAACTTGGTTTTCTCGGGATTAATCAATAATGAATTTTTGCAACACCATTCGCCTACAAGGCGAAGGTCAGTCTCAAGTTTATGTTTGGCGTCTGACACTTCTTTGACAGAGAATGACAAATATATCTTGGAATCGTCAACAAACGGTTCGTTAGATAAGATTCGAAAAGATAAGTTTTCGCTTATCTATCTCAGCTTCAACTGAAAGTAAGCCGAGAAGTCCCCGTGCCGCAGACCCAGACGTTCCTGGTAATTATTCCTGCATGATCCTGACCATGATATTTTGGACTTTTTCTAGCTCAATGTAATCTTTCGTTTTCAGCTGCCAGAGCTCTGATCCATACAGGAACTTTGGAATGCCAATCTTACGCCATAAATTTTACGAAACCATAGGATTTAATCCTCCGTAGCGAGTACCAACAGCCTTCAACATAAAACAGGTTTCTCTACGCGCACATGTTGCTTTTGAGACGATTCCCTTACTATCTCTCTTTGCAAGCCAAAGTTTTCCGAGATTTGACCACGACCCCTTTTCAGATAAAATCTGAGAACCCAGTTTCCAAACTCTCGACCTATTGTTTGCTTCATGTTCTTGCTGGCTCGCTCCAAATACTAATATAACCGTTTTCGTAACACTAAAATTAAATCTCCATTTTTGGCTATATTCCCATGCAGTCTTTAGCATCCTGTCTAACCCGGATTTCAGGCGCGATAGTATTGTTAAATCATCTGCGAACATGGGTGAGCCAAAATATAGTGAACCTACAGTAGGAAAATTCCTGCTTTGGTGTTTTTAACTCCTTAATTAGGTCGTCAATAAAGACAAGGAAGAGGCAAGGTGATAGCACTCCCCCTTGACGTGTACCCTGATGAAGATTGTTAGTGCGTGATGCTTTTCCTCCGATAAATACAAACTCTTTCATGTCTATATACCAATTTTAATAAGCCTCCATGTTTTTCCCGCAATTCCTTTGTTGTAGTGCAGCTTGAATAACATTGCATCAATCCACATGGTATCAAACGCTTTTGTAATATCCATATACGCTACATAAACTTTTTCTTTTTCTTCGCGACAATGATTTACTACTTCATCGATGACGAAACTCGTTGTTAGAGCGTCCTGTTCTCTTTGGTGAGAGTACTTTTCTTCCTTCTGCAGTCGTGATAATACAATTCTCTTAAGCATTTGATTTATGCAAGGCAACAAACTGATTCCTCTGTGATTATCAAAAGTACGTGAACTTTTATTGCCTTTAGGAATAGGGATCTTTAATAATCGCCATTTTGAAAGACTTTGGAATTTCTTCAAGCTCGATAATATAATTAAACAATTTCAGTAGCAGTTCTACAATAATTGCATCACCATATTTAATATGTTCATATGTAATTCTATCTATAACGGGTGATTTTCCCTCCGGAAGAGTATTAATTACTGAAATGATTTCCTCAGCTGTTATACAAGAATTAAGTGTATAGTCATACATACTCTCTGAGTTTTTCAAAAATTTCATCAACTTTACTTTTCATGTCTTCTTGGTTCACATGTTCCGGAGGGATAGCTAACTTCTCGTAATAGTTTGCCCAGAGATCTGCGACTACTTGCAGGTTCGTAAGCACGGCATTATCCACCTCTAAAGCCACCACCTTTTCTTTTTTCTTTTTCCTACGTACTTTGGTGTTGATCAGTTTCCAAAACGTCTCGTGATCTAACTCTGTAAAATTGGCTATGTCATTGAATTCTTCTCTTTCGTATTCCCAAACAGCTCTACGTTGTGCCTTCCTATATGCAGTCTTGGCTTTCTTATATTGTCTATAATAAACGTTTTCTGAGGCCCTCGGGATCCCTCTTTTTTCCATTTTGCCCTCGCAGCCATAACGGAACTTTTCGCTTCTTTAAGACAGTTATTCCAGTACGATTTTATATGTTTCTTATATTGAACCCGTGGTAGGATCATTGTCGCGTTCTTTATTAAATTACTCATCTCCTCATAAAAATTGTCAATGTCTGAAAATCTTTGCTTAGCAGATCAGTTGCCGAATTAACCAGTTTTTGATTGTAGCTATGAAGGTGTTCCGTGGTGCAGCTTTTCCACAATATCTTTTCAAATAAATAATTCGTGTTGTCATTGCTGGTTTCTTCTTCCGACACATCCGAGTGTAAATTTATACTAATGGTTACTGGTAAATGAAATGCTATGTTGTCTGGGTGCTTTTTGCATGGGTACTTGCACTAAGTCAACATGCTCGATTATGTCGTTTCCGACAAAAATGTAGTCTACAATGGAGTTTCCCGTATTTGAGAGATATGTAAACCGGGGCTTCTCGCACCATGGAGACAAATTAACTGCGACCAGGTTCATTTTACTCAGAAATGGTTGTAATCTTTGGCCTCTGTTATTCCAATCTTGGCTCAGCTTATCTTCCTTAATGTGTGCATTAAAATCACCTAGCAGTAACAACTTTGTTCCGCATGACTTGTGACGTATGCAAAACTGTTCCAAAGTATCTAAAGTTTTCATGTATTCTTTAAGATCATTGTTTCTTGAAAGCAAATATACCGCTAAAATAACAAAATTAATATTCTCAATCTTAAATGATACCGATGCCAATCGATCAGACGCTGTTTGTATTTCTCGGACTTTAAGGGTTTTCTTTAAGAACAAAGCAACGCCGCCTTGTCCTCTTTTCCACCTTTCCCTGATGTTATTATCCGAACTGGTACACGAAAATAACACTAAAATTGTCATTGAGACTGTCTAGGAATGACAATTCATCTTTGTACAGCCAATGTTCACTTAAAGCTAACACGTCTAATTTCTGCAAGAGTTTTTTTGCATAAATAAAATTGCCATATATTCCACCGCAATTCCACCAACCCAAATTTAGTTTTTTTGGCTCGTATTTTGGTTATGTAGTACACCTCTTTTTCCCCAACTTTGTTTTGACAACCACTGCCTAGCATAGACATGATTTGGCCAAAAGTCATTGTTACGTACACAATCAAAATCTTCCTCGTTAATGTTAACTCGCACAGCAATTGTGCCTTTTCTTTTGCTGTTAAAAATTCGATGGTAAGGCACAGTAGTTTTGTAGATGTTACGACCTCGACATTTTTACCATTAATAGTTATATATGGGCTCAAATACTTTGTTTTCTAGGCCTTAACAAAGTATTTGAGCCCATAACTATTAATGGTAAAAATGTCGAGGTCGTAACATCTACAAAACTACTGAGCCTTACCATCTCTAATGATCTCAAATGGAACACTCATATTTCGAATACTTGTAAAAAGGTATCAACACGGCTATATTTTCTAAGACAATTAAAACGTGCCAAATTGCCACCCAACGATCTGGTCCTGTTTTATATCATCTGTATTCGTCCAGCTGTCGAGTACGCGTGCGAAGTATTCCATAACTCGCTGCCGCAGTACCTGTCCGAAGACTCCAAAAACTTCAAAAACTTGCTTTTCGCATAATTTTTCCTCGTATGCACTACAAAGATGTCTTGGAGACCAAGAACATTTTGTCACTGAACGATCGAAGACAAAAATTAACAACGAAGTTGTTTAACGAAATAGCCAGCAACTCACATCATAATTTATACGACCTCCTCCCGCCATTAAATACCGACGATCACTTTTTAAGGAATCATAGAAATTTTGAACTTCTTGTGTGTAAAACGAACAGACTTAATGACAGTTTTATCATGCACAATTCTAATATACATTTTAGATAGTTGATTTGATTTTTTCATTTTTAAATGTAAATAGGGTTCATAGCATATATCCTTAATATCTTATATCTGTTAAACTTTGCGTAATTCAGCTGTGAAATTTTCTGAGGCTGCAAGTTCTAAAGTTCATTAAACCATCTATCTATCTATCTATCTATCCATCTAATCTATCTATCTATCTATCTATCTCGGAAATGCCTCTTTGCTTCATGTATTCTTTAATTGTTTCTATTCTTGTGCCCAGACGTACGCCTCCGAGATATAGCCGTTTTATTTTCATTTATTGTACCCCAACGAAATCTGAACTCTCATGTTCATTTAAATTGTCCTCAATAGCTGTTTTATCTATTGCAGAAGTTCTGCATTTACTTTATCATTTGTTTTCTTATTTTGAATTATTGACTGTTCTGATTGTTTGTCCGAGTTAGTGTTTTGTTCTGTGACTGTGTTGACAAGGGGTTTGTTACTTTAATCAGTATTTGCATTTGGCTTTGCATTTGACACGGATGGTTGACTTTCTTTGTTTCCTTTTTTCGCCCACGAATTAGGCGATTGCTCATTAATGGTAAACAATGTATGACAAGAATCTCCTGTGTTTTCTGGGTTGGATAACCTTTTGTTTACAGATACTTGATTTTTAGCGGTTTCACTTATATTTGAGTTTTCATGCTCGTCTGCACAGTGAGGTTCCGCCTGGGATTTCTGCAGTGGGTTACTCGATTTCTGCGATAAGGTATTATCGTTAGAGTTAGATTTCGATGCTGAGTTATTTTCAGCACACAAATTTGCATTATTTACTATGGCATTATCGCATTGGCATTATTAGATTGATTGTTTGTAGATTTGTATTAATTGATTGTTTTTTGCCGGTAGCCTTTGTTTCTTTTCTATACTTATCCAGATCTTTGAATAATTTTTGAATATTACAATCGTGTATTTTTAAATTTTCTGCATGTTTATTTTGCTCGATCTCGCAAGATTCCAATTTGCCCTTTGTATTTTCTATAACTGACTTATAATTTCCCTTAAGGTTACAGAACACCCTTGAGTGTTAATTTTGCCTAAATTTTTTTTATTGGTCTTCATGAAAGCATTAGCCTAGTTCTACTACCTGACCAAGTTTGAACGAAAAATGTTGAACACTCGCAGAGTTATTTAATAAAATACAGTTCGCTGCAACAAGAAAAACATTGAAAATGTAATATTCAAATTCAATTTTCTCCCGAAGAATTTTACGGCAATTACTGATTTTCAAACGAGTTGTGCTCCTGCGGGTTTTAACGAATTTCTTTCGAATTTTCACAGGACATAGCTAAAGACGTCAGTTTCAAAATTGTGTCCGGCTTTGTTCTAATTTTGGATATTTTAATAATAAAGAGCAATTCACTCAAACAATTCAGAAATATATTGCAGTCGTCAAAGAAATCGCCAATCAGTGGAATGATGATATAAACAAAAATTTCCGAACACAATTTTTTAGAACAACTATCTTACTGTTTAAAGATGATATTTACATAAATATAACTTAAAACCAGCAGGAGCACAACTCAAAAGCGTAACGGTACCGCGATTTAAGATTTTCCTGAATAATTCTTACATTATTTTATTGTTTGTTAATTTTATAACTTTATCATATTTTGCATGCACTGGCGAACATTTGGTGAAAATTTGATAAAAATTGGACTGATTTTGAGCGCGCAGTGGCGATTTTCCGCAAAACGCCAAAAAGGGTGTCCTGTAACCTTAAGACAAGGCAACATGATCATTTCCAGGAAAGTTCAGAAGCTGTGTGCTGTCCATTTATGAACAAATTAAAACACTGTTTGTGTTGCCATGGCAACCATGACGTTTAATCTTTTGCACTTTTATTGTTTGATTTCACAATAAATTGACAATATCTATATTTTCCTTTGGGTTTTTTTTGAAGATTTATGGTCCATAAAGGAAAAATGTCTCAAAATTTGAAGGGAGTTTACAAATATGTTTTCGAGATATTCGTGAATAACGGTTACAAAAAAAGTTATATGTAGAATTTCTTAAAAATTGGATATGTTGTAGCACTCGTCTTGTATAACAAAAATACAAAAATCATCGCTAAAATCGGCGTGGCCAGCATGAAAAAAACCCCGGCTCGACATGAGCACGATCTGCGCATGCGTGTAAATTGTAGCGTGTGATTTATTGTGGTTTCAACTTTTTGGCTTACAATACATACTAAAACAGATATTTCTGACTTGTTTGACATGAAAATAAAATATTAATCTTGAAAATACTAATAAAAAAACACTATTATACGCATTGTATTAAATCCACTGTTAGTTTACATTTGTTTTTGTTGTTAAAATCGGTGTGAAAACTTTTCAAAACATCGAACTACAAGTTTAACTTTTTATATAAAACAACTCATAACTGTTTTATTTGATTTAGCAGATAAAACAATACCTGTGCATTGAATTGATTGAAAGAACTTACATAAGTTTCGGCGACAGTTCACTACTGTTCAACAGTTAATAGGAGACAGTATCATTTCAGTGTGACAGTTCGTAACATTACGAAAGACAATGCTGAACGTAAATACGTAAAAACACACTAAAAGATAGGTTAAACTAGTTAATAACATACGTACTGTTCGAATTCAGAAAAAATTAGGATTATAATGAAAAACTAGGGCTTTCTTTGTAGATAAAAACGCCAAAAAACTTCCCACGGCTTGTTTCAATATTTTTGCCGAACAGTAAACACGACGATTCCACTCGCAGATCGCGAGGATGAAGTCTGATCTATATAAATCGTATTTAAACTGTACTAACTGTAGGGA